TGCCCCCCAGCCCCCCGCAACCACCCGTCTGTTCTCTATGTCTGTGATTCTGTTTCTGTTTTGTAAATAAGTTCATCTGTGTCCTATTTTAGATTCCACATAGAAGTGATATCATGGTACTTGTCTTTCTCTTTCTGACTTACTTCACTTAGTATGATCATCTCTAGGTCCATCCATGTAGCTGCAAATGACATTATTCCATCCTTTTTCATGGCTGAGTAGTATTCCACTGTATATATGTACCACATCTTCTTTATCCATTCATCTGTCCATGGACATTTAGGCTGCTCCCATGTCTTGGCTATTGTGAGTAGTGCTGCTGTAGACACAGGGGTGCCCTCCCAAATCTGCTCTCAACGTAGTGCTCTTCCAAAAAGATACATCAGTGCAGCGGCTGCTGTGCTGAAAACCTTCCAATGGCTTCCCATCACATTTAAAGATTCACCTCATTCTAGCTTACAAGCCCCTGTGGGACCCTGAGCTCAACTCAAAGTATTCTCTCCTCATGGCCTTATCGTGGTCCAGGTGAGCTGGCCTTCCCTCTGCCTCTCTAACATTTCAAGAATGTGTAACACAGATGGGTAGATAAATAGATGCAATGATATCAGATGTCTTTCAAAATCTCTCAGTGAATGCATAATGAACAAAAACAAAGTAAAGATGAAATAAAATGGCAAAAGGTCTGTTTATGGAAGGTCCCCCCCCCCCTAAAAATGGCAAAAGTCCTTTCACCAGTCAAGTCACAGGTGAAATGGAAAAGGGACTCAGAACACTCCAAATACAAAAGCCTGGGGGTCAGTACTCTGAAGACTTTACTTTTAGTTCCAGAGGAAGATACTCAGATAGTATTAGTAAAAACTCATCAGACCAAACATGTTTTAATGCAATTCGGTCATTTCAGTTCAAGAATCAGTGAGCATCCCCCAATGTTCCTAGAAGCATTATGTGCAATAGCCAAGACACAGAAACAACCTAAGTGTTCATCAACAGATGAGTAGATAAAGATGTGGTACATATACACAATGGAATATGACTCAGCCGTAAAAAAGAACAAAATTTTGCCATTTTCAGCAACATGGATGGATGTGGAGGGCATTATGCTACACGAAATAGGTCAGACAGTGAAAGACAAATTCTGTATGAAATCACTTATATGTGGAATCTAAAAAATACAACAGGAGGCTCATAAAGGTAAATACAGAATGGAAAACACCCAGATGCTGGGATGAGGGACCTCTCTGAGCCTCAGTTTCCTCATGTGGAAATAGAGGAGGATTGTTTCAAATACTGCTCATGGCCTCAGAATATCTAATCTCCGCTTGTTCCCTTGTAACAAAACCTGAGCAATGTGCCATGCTAAAAAATCAATTCACAAGCCTTCCTTTCAACTAAGTACGTCCATATGACCAAGTTCTGGCTAATTGGATATACCCAGAAATATTAAATATTATGTTGGATTCTTGTGAAGACTCCTTGCAAGGGAAAAGGGACTGACCCAGTTTGATATGCATTCTTACTTTTTCTGGTAAGCAGAATATGGATATGCTGCCTGGCACTCCAGCAGCCATTCTGGACCATGAGGTAACCATGAGGATGGAATCTATACCCTTGACTGCTGAAGCAGAAATAAAGATGGAGCCTGAATCTCAGATAGCATGGGGAACCATACCAGCCCTAGACCACCACCCTTAGGAGTTCTTTTACGTGAAAGAAGAAACCTACTTGTATTAAAGCCACTATTGGCCTGGGTAGAGTGGAGTGAGTGGGGTTTGTTAGTGTTATGGTAAGGATTATGGTTAGGGCTTGTTCTCAGCCAAATGCAATTCCTAACTGATAAAAAGGTCAGCTAGGTCTTAGCTGAGATTCTTTCTAGCTCTGCCATTACACACACTTCTGTGATTACACATATCATAGCCAGAAAGGTTGATGTAAGGTGAGAACGGTTTCAGAGACCAGCAGCGGACAGAGAAAGAGGCTCTGGTGAGCGTGGGGATTCCTGTGAGTTTTGAAGAACAAGGGGGTCTGGAACAGATGGACAGTCCAGGCGGGAGAAACGCTGAGCGAGGGAACCAAGCACACCACCCGGTGCAGAGCCAAGCAATGGAAGCCGCTCAGAGTACCACTAAAAGCTCATCAGACCAAAGGTGCTGAAAGGGAGCAAATTCAAGTAATTACTTATATGAGACAAATGGTCTCGCCATCCCCAGTAATAGAACCACTAATAGCCTAAACGAAGGAGTGTGCTGCTGTCACACACGAACACATGAAATAATGTACCAGGGGAGGCTCGGTGCCTTTAGAATAAAAGAAATCGTTAATAAGAGCCCTGATCAACTGAAGGAGCTCAACAACTTTGCGTTTCCTAATGAACAGTATAATAACTAACTTATTGTCACTAGGCAACTGTCCGCGTCACCTTGTATTGAAAGACTGATTCCTGACGTCCTTTCACAACCACATAATAACACTTGTCAATAGTTCCTCATAGATGGTGAGGGGGAGACAGCAGGCTGTCAACGGATAGGTCAACCCATCCCTCACTTCCGACAGTAAAAGTACTTTTGTAACAGGAGAAAGCTCAAATTACCATCCGCAGACTCACAATCCCAAAGCATTTGAACTGGGAAAATTCACATTAAGAAAATGTGTTATTCCTTTGCAGAGAGGGGCCGGGGAAAGGCGGGGCTAGAGAGGGCGTTAGTGTGCTTTGTTTAGGTGAACCTGGGTGATTACTCTTCCCACAGGCAATGTATTCCGTTGCATAGCAACCAGGGGGTGGGTCCTTTCAAGGATGAAAGCCCATCTGAGTTCCACAAATCCTAGGAAACATGCGGACAGACCTAGAGTCCTAAATCGTTTAGAGGCCGATGACAAGTTATACACAGGTGGCCTGTGAATGAATTATAGTTAACTGTTTCTTAGATGGGCTTGATTAAAAAAAAAATTAGTTCTAACAGGAACAAACTGGTGTTTCACATTAAAACTATATTAACGGCTTCTCTTGAGAAGTCAGTATATATTAAGAATTCAGAATCCGGCTTGGTTTTCCTTCATGGCAAACATGGCAGGGCCTTTTCACTGGGTAGGTGTTTGTCAAGTCACCTGCCACATTTCACTCAGATACTTGATCTGTTTGGTCTCTGCAGGTGTATGTGTTTGAGACCCTTGAACAGTCTCCAATGTATCATACAAACATCTTGATTAAATCATTAATACTTTTCACATAATGGAAGACCCAAATCTAATTCCTGGATTTTGATTACTTTCTAAAGAATATTCTAAAGATACTATTTAGAAAAACATTTTTACAGAATCGGCGATTTGCAGTAACTTCATCATTCAGTTTCCCCCCACCCTGGTTCTGAGCTCACTGATATGTCCCCACTGTGTTTGGGTCACAGTGTGGTACCCTGCCTTTCCCTGAGGTCTGTATTAACAACCCAGGGCAGGGACATTCTTACCATGGCCAGCGGGATGACGCCAATCAAGTCCTTCTGGCTCACGTAGATCTTGGAGACGCCCAAGTCCGATGTGATGTCTCCTGGGTATTCAACCTGCCATGTAACAAGCTGTGTGGTTGGCGGGTCACTGGCCTCTTGGATTTCTACGTCGATCTGCATGACTTCATAGGAGGCGCCCTCCGCACTGGAGAGAAGGAGAGAACAACTTTGAGGACTGGGGTGGGCACCCTTGGCAGGCCATGGACTATTTCAATGAGTGTTCACATCACCCCTGCAAAGAGCTTGTCAGAAATGTGATCCCCAGCGTCCACTGACAGATGAATGGACCAAGAAGATGTGGTACATTTATACAATGGAATACTACTCAGCCATAAAACAGAGTGAAATAATGCCATTTGCAGCAACACGGATGGACCTAGAGATGATCATACTAAGTGAAGTAAGTCAGACAGAGAAAGACAAATACCATTTGATATCACTTATAGGTGGAATCTAAAAAAATGATACAAATGAACTTGTTTACAAAACAGAAATAGACCCACAGACATAGAAAACAGACTTATGGTTACCAAAGGGGAAAGCAGGGATGAGAGTGGAGGAATAAATTAGGAGGTTGGGATTAAAAGATACACACTACTATGTATAAGATAGATAAGCAACATGGATTTACTGTTTAGCACGGGGAACTATATTCAATATCTCGTAATAACCTATCACGGAAAATAATCGGAAAAAGAATATATATGAATCACTTTGCTGCACACCTGAAACTAACTCAACATTGTAAGTCAACTATACTCCAATAAAAAAACAAAGAAAGAAAAAAAAGAAATTCGATCCCCAAAAGAACAAACAACCTTTAACAAGATTCACAGCCTTGGCCTGGCCTTAGACACCATCACTCAAACTTCCCAACCCCTGTTTTCTGTGAGCCTCTCAGAGTCCCCAGGACAGGTGTTTGTGGATAATTACGGGAAATGCTGATTGAATTTCCTAAATGCTTTCTTCCCCGTGCTCCTTCTAGGAGGATGGAGGATAAGATTCTTTCCCTCACTCCCAGAAATCTCTTTGCTGCCTATATTGGATTTTCCAAAGCCACAGTCCATTCAAGTTGGGTGCACAGAATTTTAAAGGACTCTGAGGGTGATGTGGCTTTGTTACCCAGTGAGGGTGAGAGAGAATTGCAGAGAATCAGAGCTGAGGCATGAACAGGAGAATGGGACCACAGGACCCACACGGATGAACAAGGAGAAGTAACCAGATGTTATCTGGATATAGGAGTCGTTCTGACAATGATTAGTTTTTAGACAGTCCGGGTTTTCTAGAAACACGTATCCAGAAATGAATCCAAGTTAGAGTATCAGGATAATTTTTGCAGCTATTTTGGTTGGTTTCATTTACTGGCTACCCCTTTTTCTTTTTCACAGTCTGCTTTTATAAAATGTGTGCTCTTCTAAGTGACAGGTTAGAAAAAAGAAAAGGCAGAGGTGGTGCCAGACACTCCCTCAGGTAAGAAGTGAAGAAATACAGGTGAGAATTCACCTGGGAGGCAGGAAGGACAGACACGTTTTAACCCTTCGGGACCAAAGCCACTTCCACCTACCAGATCTTTCTCCAGAGATTTGAATTTCACATAATTGCAAAATGACCACGGGGTCTGACATTTAGGAGGACAAGGTTTGGCCTTTTATATACATATGACCGAGCTATTGAGACGTCTTTATCACACCATCGAACCCACGCAAACGTACCAATAAGAAGCTCAGAGATAAATGGTGGCGATTTCGGGGAGCCTCCTTCTTAAAGTAAGGGATGAGGTGGGATACTGGGATATCGGGGGTGACTAGGATAAGAGGAGAGAGGGAGGGAGGGAGGAAAGAGGAGGAGGAGGAGGGCAAGAAACAGAGAAGGAAGATCAGAAGTGCTGCCCAAAGAGACCGCCCCCGCCACAGAGGTTAAATTCCTGCACGAGCACTGATCTCTCACACAGAACAGGAGTAGCTACAGTTGTTAAGAATCTGCCTCCCAATGCAGGGGACACGGGTTCGAGCCCTGGTCCGGGAAGATCCCACACGCCGCGGAGCAACTAATAAGCCCAAGAGAAGCCACCGCAATGAGAAGCCCGCACACCATGACGAAGAGTAGCCCCCGCTCGCCGCAACTAGAGAAAGCCCGCACGCAGCAACAAAGACCCAACACAGGCAAAAATAAATAAATAAATAAATTTATTTTTTAAAAAGTGATATCGGGCTTCCCTGGTGGCGCAGTGCTTGAGAGTCCGCCTGCCGATGCAGGGCACACTGGTTCGTGCCCCGGTCCGGGAAGATCCCACATGCCGTGGAGCGGCTGGGCCCGTGAGACATGGCCGCTGAGCCTGCGCTTCCGGAGCCTGTGCTCCGCAACGGGAGAGGCCACAACAGTGAGAGGCCTGCGTACCGCAAAAAAAAAAAAACGAAAAAAAAAACAACAAAAAAGTGAATCTATCTATATATAGATATATATATACAATAGAATACTACTTAGCCATGAAAAAGAATGAAATGCCACTGGCAGCAACGTGGACTGAACTAGAGATTATCGTAAGTGAAGTGAGTCAGAAAAAGAAAGACAAATATGATATGATACCGCTTACATGTGGAATCTAAAAAAAGGGTACAAATGAACCTATTTATAACACAGAAATAGAGAGGCACCTGGTTTTTCAATCCTACAAGACTCACTCTCTCTTGGCTTCTGAAAGAAAGATGTTGAACTCTTTAAGAAACAGTGGTTGTGATAAGAATTAGAAACAAATTGTGTCACAGCCACAGTGGACTGATCCCCTCTCTAGGTTTCTTTTCCTAAGACACATGCCGTTGCCTTTTTGGAACTTCAAACGAGGGTTTCCACAAGTACAGGAAACTTGGGATTGTGATGCTAGAATGCATCCTGGTTTTTATATTTGGAATTTGCAAGCTTGTCGGTATTCCCCTCCTGTTTATGAAATGGGACAACCCTTCTTTCGGCTGTTCTGAGCCTTGCCTTCTACGTTTAATCACAAAGAAAGGGAGAGTTGCAGAGCAGAACTGGTAAGAGTTGAATTCAGAAACTCAGCTCCACAGCAGACGTGTATGGGAATTCCTTCAGAGCCGTAATTCCTCATAGGCAGTAATGTGACCCTACTCCGTACTTTACACCGTTCCCTCCTGTTTTTTCCTTCCAGGTGCACTAACCTCAAGCAAACTGAACAATCCTGGCCTCCAGTGGAATATGGGACTTTCTGTACCCCTATCTCCCCACACTTCACTCATGGAGTTCACTTTATCCGAAATACTTTTATCCATCTCTCCATAGGGTCAGATTATTCCCTCTCTGCAAGACCCACCTAGAACACAACATCAGTAATAATTTTTATTTTTATTTTTTAATTTTATTATTATTATTATTATTTTTGGTACACGGGCCTCTCACAGTTGTGGCCTCTCCCATTGCGGAGCACAGGCTCCGGACGCGCAGGCTCAGCGGCCATGGCTCACGGGCCCAGCCGCTCCGCGGCATGTGGGATCTTCCCGGGCCG